CAAGAAGGTTTTTCTTTTTTCCCCATCAAATGTCCAGAAACCTCATGTCAGAGTCTCAACATTGACACAAGGGAATGAGACCCATGCTAAATGAACACCCAAGGAACATAATTATAACTAAAATATCTTTGTATTGACAATAACAACCAGGATTATAACAATGACCACCAGGCTCCTGTGGTTGTAGCCAGCACATTCTTTTCCTTCAGGCAGAACAAGTGCGAAGCCCAATTTTGAGCTGAGTGCAGAACAAAAACAAAGAAATGTGTATGCTCGAGGAATATTTTATCCAGGACATGACTGCCCTGATGAAGCTGCCATCTTTCTCTTCAATCATGAAACAACTCTCTTGTTGTATGTATGCATGTATGTCATTGCATGTATGGCCACATACACTTTCTTCCAGATTCAAACTATGTCTCTCACAGACTTGTTTACCAACCTCCCCCTCTGATACGCTGTTTTCTATGATACAGTCAAAGCAGGTTCCCCAAGTTCACACTTTCCTCCACTATTCTAAAATCGTGAAGGGAAACAAAAGTCATTAGTTCATGAAAGTACTTATTAATGATATGACAACTTATAAATTAGTCCCCCATTCAAACATGTCTTTTAAACCCCAGGATACCCTCTCTCACCCACCCCCCACCCCATGCTGGTAAACAATTGCAATGTGATGCAAATACATTTGATTCCATTGCAAAGTAAAATCGCAAATCTTGCAAAAAGTACAAGGTTTCATGATGTTAAGGAAAGTGAAGTTGGTATAGCAGCTGGCAAATGAGGATCTATAGGATTAAACAAACAAATGAAGGTAAAGTCAATAGGGGTGATGCCTATACTGATGGTTTAGAAGAGAATACTTTGAATATCAAAGAATTAATTGAGACCCTTGGGAAAACTGATGAAACCCTCAAACGTTTTTACAAATGACCCTCTTTTTGATTATTGTGTAGAAGTCAAATATGAAGTAAAGCATGTTATAAGGTGCTTCACATTTTGTAGAAAAAAATAAAGCCAACAATAATCTTTTTGATTACTTCTTCATTCGATATTAGGACACAGTTGTACTTACAATGTAAATTTTGTTCAATATAGGATACAATAAATGTATTTTAATAAGTTAAATTTTATTTTTTAAAAAAGTCCCCAACAACCCTTTTTTTTTTTCTTTCACTAATTGCTCTGAAATGTGGTTCCTGTATTAAGTAGCTTTACTTTAAGGAAGCTTTACCAGTGCTAATCACACAGTGCTATTAAGGACTTCCTGTACTAATGAGGCAGAACTTTTCTAGTAGTAACTGTCTGATGCCTCAGTTGTGTCTATTTACATATTAAATTTTTATTCTTTTGTTCATAAAATATCTTCATTTCTTAATTCTTGGGGGGGGGGGGGAGTAACTTATTTACTCTTAGGTGTTTCCTCTATGAGCACTTCCAAAGTGTGACATCATTAAAAGTAATATTAGTGTCTCCAAAGGCAACTCATGGAGAGAATGCAGACTTTGGAGTCAACTTGACGTCAGACTTACATGTGAATCTGCTTCTGCCACTTAATAGACATATATAATAATGAACAAATTATGTGCCCTCTCTGAACTTTGGTATCTTCATTTGTGAAAATGGAGCAATGATAGTTCTCTCACAAAACTATGGTGAAGGTCAGATGTGAATGTGTGTAAAATGCTATGTACAGAGAAGGCATTCAACATGCAGTAGTTATAGCCCTGGCCAGTGTGGCTCAGTTGGTTGAGGGTTGTCTTGTGCACCGAAAGTTCACAAGTATGGTAGGCAACTGATAGATGTTTCTTCCTTGCATCAATGTTTCTCCCTCACCCTCTCTCTAAAATCAATTTAAAAAAAAAGATTTAAAGAATATGCAGTTATAGCAGTACTGTTTATTTTTTATTTTTTTTTGACTGCCAAAGTTCCCTTGTGATCTTAATTTGTTGATTATTTTGTACATTCAGAATCTTTGAATGTGTTTTGTAATGTGCACCTAGGGTCTCTAGGCTATAAAAAGTAGGTAGGCTATAAAAAGTAGCTAAATATGACTAATATTGAAAATGTACCTTTAGGAGTGTCTTGTTGTGTAAATCTCTTATAATGAGTTCTAAAATACTCTGTAAAGTTTTGAAAAAGTTGTAATGAGGTTTTCATAATTTACATTGTAAGACTTTGGTTAAGTTATTCTGTAAGTTAGATGGCTGATATTTACAAGGGGAAAACCTCAATAAAGGTCCCCCCCTTTCTCCACATTCAGGCAATTTTTATAAATAAATCTTGAGTTAAAAGCAAGAAACTCAGTTTTTTACCGCAGAGAGAGCCCCATGCGGAGAGCACAGTCTTGAAAGTCAGATGCTTCTGGATTTGAACCCTTGCTCAACTGCTCCTTAGTTTTGTGACCTTGATTGACCAATGTAATATTTCTAAGCCTGGGTATCTTCATCCATAAAGTTGGAGATAATAAAAATACCTGCCTCGGAGTTGTCATGAGGATGAAATGAGACTGCATAGAAAATGTTCACGTGCCCATACAGCCCAGCACATTGAAAGGGCTTAATAAATATTATTTGTAAAAATCTTCCAATTCACACGTTAATAGGTATATCATGTTTTGTTCAAAAATGGTAATAGTGTAACACAAAAACAAAAAGTTCTCTTGAGTCTCAAACATCAAACATAGGCTGGGTCTTTTGCCTCTGGAGTTTCCTATATTGGGAGTTCCTCTACTTCCCCATGAACTTGATTCCTGCCTTGTGCTTCTTAATGGTCTCCTCCCAATCCCCCCCAACACAACAGGAACAGCAAGGGGTTGGGAGGAGACCTTATTACAAATTGGCAAAGGGCTTCTACAAGACTCCTTCTGCAAGACTCTGTACCTCCATGGGTCCGGTTAGTTGATATTATTTCATTTACTTAGCTAAAGCCAGGAGATAACAATGACTAACCTTTGGTATTCATCTACTAGCACCACAGATTATATAGTAGGTGAGTTGCAAACATTATCTCAATTCGTCATAACAACTAGGCAGGGTAGATACCACTATTCCTATTTCTGAGATGGGTAGGCAGAGGGTCTGGGCCAGTAAGTTGTTCCAAGTCACACACCAAGGCAGCACCAAAGACCATAAAGATCAAGTTAATGCATTAATCGGGATGTGATGCTCTGAGTGGTTTTCTCCTTCTGGGAAAGGCCCATCCCATCTTCCAGAGGCAGAGCTGCCCTTATGCTGGCGCTTACACATATGTGTGCGTTCATATCATCTTATTCGTGTAAGGCTTTTAACCTTCTTATACCGCGAATGCGCAAACATAATACTAAATGTACCAAGATCCTTGTACATTCCATGCATATACACTGCAATAAACGCACCGATTATGCAATGGATGCTGTAGGTCTGATAAACAGAATTCCAGATATCAAAAAGGAAATAAACCACTTTCCTCAATCCCAGTAATTCCTGTTTAACTTCCCCTAGCAAACTTTGAATTTCAAATTGTGCTTGTTCTAGAAAGCACTCCTTCAAGCACTGTGTTACGGAGTCCCACCTAGTCAGAAGGAGGGAAAGCTGAGAAGGGCCATTAGGGCGGATGTGCTTCTTCCATTACCGGCGGAATTAAGTTTGTCATCTCTGCCTAAGCACCGAATTCTACAATCATTCCAAAAGTGGAAGTTCAGCTCACAGAGCACTGAGGGAAGACTGAGCTGCACTAACCATTTAAGGTCAAGAAAAAAACTGGTCAGCGCTAAGGACGAGCGTGGTGCACGGCTTCCACCCCAGAGGTACCACCAGGCTCTGCATCTGCCAGCTCCAGAAGACAATGGCTTTCAACTCCCTGCAGACACCTCTCCGGAAGCCACAAGGGGAGCCTCACGGTCAGAGCCCCCAGAAAGATGCCAGCTCCCGCCTGCGCCCCACGTCCCCCTAGGTCCCCTCTATTCTTAACACGCACTCCAGCGCAAGGTGCCCTCAGTCCGCTGTGACCGGGAGCCGGCTTCCCGCCCGGCGGCCGCCGGGGTCAGGAGCCCAGGGCTGCGGGCGGCGGCGCGCACGCGGGGCGGGGACGCGCGCACGGGGGGCGGGCCAGGCGGCTGTCGGCGCCGCTCCCCTTTGTTCGGGGCCATTGTGCAGCACTTCCTCTTCTGGCGCTGGTTCTCTGCACCCTGGCAGCCTGTGGGGAATTTGTGAAGGGGCTTTTTGTGCTTTTCCCTTTTCTCTCGGTTTACTTTTTAGTCAGTGAGGACCGCTCTTGCACGGCCTCTCCCTCGCGGTTCCGGAGGCCCCGTGCCTAGCAGCGAGGCGGAGCGGGAAGTGTCATTCCCTCCCGCCGACGGCTCCTCCGCGGGCCTGCCGCCCCGCTCCTCCTCCAGGAGGCATCCTAACCCCGCATTCTGGACTTTCACTTCCCGGCCGGCCGCGGTCACGCCAGAGCGGCGACACGCGACCCCCTCCCCTTCGAAGGGCGCAGGCTCCGGGCGCCCTGGGCTCCAACAGCACCAAGGCGAGGGTCGGAGGCCGGTGCTCGGCCCGAGTCCGGCCGCCCAGGAGTCCCGGGTGCCGGCATGACTGTCGCCGCTGCCCTCCCCGTCCCTCGCGTTCGCGCTCCTGGGCCGCGGAGCGGCTGCCTCAGCCCCCTTATATAGCCCTCTAAAAATAGCTCTCCTCGCACCGCCTTGTAAGGCAGCAGGGAGATCCTCAGCGCGCCAATCCGCGCTCGCCGCCAGGGCCAAGCCCCGCCTCGAGCCCCGCTCCGCGGCACTCATTGGTCCTCAGTGACTTCATGAGCCCCCTGTTTACCTTACATGGTCACACGCGGCCTAATGGACGCCCTCCTCCGAGATCCCCACGGCTGCGCGGAGAGCCGGGCTGAGGGAGGGAGTTTGGGGAGGGGGAAGAGCAGGAGGAGGAGAAAAGGAGGAGGGGGGAAAGACTACAAACTAGCAAGGATGGGGTGGGGGTGGGGAGGGCCGGGAAGGGGGGTGGGGAGAGAAGCGATCGCGAGAAAAAAAAAATGCAACCTCCCAAAATAAAGAGCAAAGATTGCATTAGGAGCGAACAGCGCTGCAGAAATAGATGGCAGCTTCGTGTCAGTGAGTTTGCATCCCCCTTCCTGATCCACGAGCTGGAGTGATTAGAGCCCTGGAAGGGAATTGTTACTCCCGTGGAGAAGTCCCCTTTTCCTGGCAGCCGTCTGCACTGTACACGCTGGATGCCTCTCTCCATCCACCCCACTCACTCTCTTCTCTCTCACCTCCTCTCTCCCTCTCTCCTGCATTGATTTTTTTTTCCTTTTTAGTTGACTGAAACAAAACAAAACAAAAGGGCCACTGGATGTCTGCCTTCCTGGGGGGTGAGCCAGACAGACTGACAAACAAACAGACCCAACTGTGTTCGGGGGAGGGTTTCTCCTCCCGTTTTGCCCGGCAGCAGCAGCATGGACGTGTTGGCTAGTTATAGTATATTCCAGGAGCTACAACTTGTCCACGACACCGGCTACTTCTCAGCTTTGCCATCCCTGGAGGAGACCTGGCAGCAGGTGAATGATTTAAATTACTTGTGTAAATCGTGTGGTGGCGGCGGAGACGCAGGGGCTGCGTTGGTGTGGGCTTCGGGTTTGATTTTTTGGTTTGTTATATTTTTTCCCCCCTTTTTGGCTGTTTGTTGTTTAAAATGTTTTCGGAAACAGTCATCTGCGCTTACCTCTCCACCCACCCCCTAACCCCATAGTGTGCCGAGCTGAGCAACCGGGCGAGCTGCCTGCTGTTTGTCACCAACACACATCCTTGCGCACACGTTGTCGGGCTCACTGTCCCCCAGCAGAGACCTGCCTAACTTCTGGGGTTCGGAGAGCCAAGTGGGAATGTGGTTTAGGGTTTTACGAGCCGTGTCTGGCAGGATACCTCGCCCCTACATGCAGGAGTTCTACCTGCTTGGTACCTTAAATCAGGTTCATCTCTTTCAGCTGGTGCTGACGACCGTCAGATGGGGGGGGGGGTGCTTAGTGTCAATAAAGAATAGGAACTTGATTTTGAGATTAGAAGGTGGTCAGCAGCGAGAGGAGCCCAGTGACAAAAGATACTCAAGGATGTCTAGGAGGAGGACGGGAAGATGTATCTGTCTAACGCTGACCGTGCATTGTAGGTAATGCCTTCAGAAAGAAAATACCCTCTCTGTGTGTCCTTGTTTCTCTTTTTTGGTTTGGAACCCCTCTCCAGTTAGACAGCACAACCTCCGACAAAGGACGGTGTGTACTTCCATGCCTCTGACTTTGTCTTAGAGGACTAGTTAAGAAACTCCTAGGATGCTGAAGGGCACCAGTGCCAAGTTGGCCAGGCATCCCAGTGAGGGCAAAGTGGGGCTGGTGACAAGTTCACTGGGCTTTGTGAAGTGGAATAAAGTGCTGGTCAGTGAAAAGTACTAGAGACCTGCTGCGGAAACAGTGATTTTCTCAGCAAGGATTAGAAGCTGCTGAGGGGACATTCTTCAGGAAAGATGGTGGGTGGGAGGTGGGGGGACATGGGTGTTTTTTGAAAATTCTACAACATGCTGAAGGAAAGTCCAAGAAAACGGTCTGGATTTACACATCAGAAGTGTGAACTTGCACAGTCCATCTTGGAGAAACCCGCTTGCCCTTGGGGAGGGCTGCGAGAGGCTTGGTGTGCGGCTGCTCTTGTAACTTCTCCGCTCCCTGACAGCAGCTTGTTAAGCCTAATGAACTGCTGATTTTCCTTTGCCAGGACCAAAGCGGGATTTGCCAGCTTGAGGCTGGGATGTAACAGTTGCTGCTTTAGCGAGTGAGGTTTGGCTTTTGGTACAACCAGCCGCAAAGCTGATCCTCCTGGCTGTACCATTGTTACTAGTTGCTGCTGACCCTGATTAGAGGCTACCAGTTTTCCTCCAGGTGTTGGCCTCTGGTGTCTGTTTGTCCACACATGCATTCCTGCCCAAGGTGCTGGCAGATATCCTTGACTTTGTCTCTCTTTAAATGCACACACAGTTCACATGTTTTTAGCATAAGGCATTTCTTCAGTGCATCCTTTCCCCCCATTCTTAACAAGCCTGTCTCACGAAGGGTCTCACGACATCTTCTTCGTCCTTTCATTTCACATCCTAATTAAACCGAAATGCCAGAATTTCATTTTCTGAAATAGCCTTCATTTCACACTGTCAGCCTGCTGGTGTCAAATGGTTGGGTATTAACAACTGTCTAGACAGGTTAGGAAGGGAATCTGTTGATTAGTCAGCCTGCCTAAGGCAGCTCTTGTTTGTGACTGTTAAGCCGTGTTGGAGGGAAGAAAGTTGGCATTATTTGTTATAACGTTCCCTCCTGATGAATCACTCAACTTTGTTTTGGTTCAAGTTTTCACGGTAGTAAAGCTTGCTTTCGGGGATGGCCTTTCCAGAGGAAATCTACTTTTTTAGATCGGGTTAGACCATCCAGGAGAAAGTCTGGATCTATAAAGAAACACCATTGGTTTGATAATTAGGGGATGTATTAGATCTGTTGTTTCCTCAGAAGCCCTCTCAGCTTTTCCTTACCCCCTGTCTTCCCTCCCCCTTTAGTCCACCCCCTGCAAGGAACCTCTTTCATAGTTTCTATTAGCAGGCAAAGACATTTTCACCCCCCTGCACCTCGCTGCCTTAACCCTCACCAACTGTCAACTACCCTAATCTTAAAACCCTTTGCCAACCTATGTCAGAGGCATACACATAGTCCACACTGAAACATAACTTGTGGGGAAGCACTCCTAAATAACATATCGTTCCGAGGAGCTCTCTGCTCTGGACTCTGTAGTCACAACTGCTCTATCTTAAAGGTGACTCTGACCCTTAAGTTCATACTGATGACAAAACCTCCAACCTCTATCTCTTCCTTCCTCCCTCCCCCTGCCCCCCTTCCCTCTTCTAAGTGTAAGGGGGGGCGGGGCGGGTTATATGCAATTGTTGGTTCCAAATCAACCATCAGATGGTGAAATTTTGAAACTCCTTTGCTCAAAAAGGCTCAAGAAGGTTGCTACAAAGAAGCCCAGGCAGAAGGAAGTTTCCCAATGCTCTGGAGTAATCAGATTTTAGAGGTCAAATAAGGAGCAATTATTAGATGTTCTTCTGAAAGAAGGAGAACAGTGTACCTGGCCTTGAGGAGATGAGCGAAATACAGAGATTCCAATAATCTGATTTGATTTCGTTTGTAGAGAAAGAATGGCTTGGATGATAAACCCAAGAACATCTGTGCATTTGAAAATTGAGGATGAACTATTCTGGGATTTTATTTTAAACGTATGGTCTGGGATAACTGCCCTGCTTAATAGTCAGTGAACCTATGATGGCCCTCCTGTCACAGGTTCATATTTTGATATTGAGCGTTCAGGCAATGATGCCTTATCCACACACAACTCGAATGCTGAAAATCTTTGTTGGTATAATTTTAAAATCCAGGTGGACTTCCTATGTTAACTGCCCTCCATTCCTGGGCTCTGACTGCATACTTAAGCAATTGGCCCAAGTAACATCATCTCTGCCTGTCATATCACTATAAATTACACTGTGCTTATGTGGTCTATTATTTTATGGAATTCAGCTGACGCACAAGTCTTAAGGCTATCAGCCTTAACCTCTTTGGAAACTTGCAGGAAAAATTTCCAAGAGCTGTCTGAGCAAAAGTAGGAAAAAGTCAAAGGTATGACAAGCTAGAGTAGCTTATAGGGTACCACTTGGTGATGGATAAAGGGAGAGCTATTCATGAGTCTTGTTAGAAATAGAAATTATGATTTTTCTGTACCCACTCTTGACTTTAAAAATAAAAAGGATTTGATATATTCTTGGTTGTTTGTCTTCGGGAAGCTACAAAGACTTTGAGAATTTGGATATATTTTTTGTACCCAGCCTGCTATTCCATAAGTGCAGATCAAGTAATGATTTGCACTTAGCTGTGCTATCTAAGTCTTATTTGCACTTAACTGTACTTCATGCCATTGAGGAGCATGGTATGTTTACTTGAAAATGCTTATGGAATTATGCTTGTTAATGCTGATTCATAATTGGCAGATGGGGTCAGTTTCAGGCCTCCCTTTTGCTCAGAAAATTTTCCACTGCTACTGGAAACAAATAAATAAATCATAGAATATTCTTTCCTCCTCCCCCATTTCCCCATTGTTTTAAACTAATGGCATACTTGGCTACCGTAAGAACTAAAACGTCCTCATAGCACTGCAATTTCAACTCAGTTTTAGGCATCCTGAAACACTTTTACAAGGGCCTTCGGTATGAGGCATCTCTAGGGGACAACCTACAAAAATGGTTGCCTTCCAAGAACAGCCTCATGGTACCAGGGATAGGATTGGATCTGTGAGCTACATTGCTGCTTCTCTCTCTCTAAGGTGATTTTGCCTTTGCACACTGCCTTCTGTAGGCCTGAGCGGCCAGGTGCTGTCTCAGCCAGAAAGACAAAGCGAACTGGAGGGTCCCTACATTCGCAGGTTTGTCTCTGTCCCCAATTTGCAGAAACCCTTGTCATGAATTAGAATTTCTTGGCAACAGCACCACCCAGGGAAATTTGTAGACACAAAGGAGCCTTGCTAACCACACTGAAAGGATAAAATAGCTGGTGCTTTAAAAAAATGTGATCTGTGTGCTCTTCAGTTACCGTAAGTCCATATATTTTTTAAAAATTTGAAAGTGTTTTGGTAGATGGAAAAAAATTAGAATTGTCCGTTATACACATTTTCTGTATAAGGATACAATCACTAAATAAAATGTAGCTTTGCAAATGAAAGCACGTGTGAATGCAATCAATCACACAGCCTTTCTTTAATAGATTCATTTCCATGTTCTTTTCAATAAATACATCTTTGTGTAGGTGTAGGGGTTCTCAAGCATTATCATTCACTCAACCTGTTTGCAGTTTGGTATTTCAAAGTGGGTGAATGTTACAATGCAGATATTTTTGCTACATCTGTCTTTGGGGGAAGGGGGGTATAAAGGAAGTAGTGACTTCTTTGTTCTCCATGAAACTCCCACCCCCACATCTTACTCTGATGGAGAATGTGATGTTGGGGTCCATTCCATTTAAAGGGCAGAGCAGAAGATGCACCGTGACAGCCTCACCCTGAAATGATTTATGTATGGGTATGTCAGAGACCTTCAGCCTTCGATTGTAGGCTCTTGCTCCCTCCCAGCCCATTCTAAATATAAATGCCAGTGGGGGCTGTTTGCCTCTCCACTTAAACTGGAAGAGTTTAGAGAGGGTCCTAATGGGGCTTTTAGTACCATTCTCTTATAAATCTTCAGATTCGTCTCCCTTCAGAGAATTCCTGTATTTAAATTTTTGAGTACAAGAAGGCATTGCAGTCTTCTAAACACTCTGTGTCCACTGGGGAAAGAAGAATGCAGTTTACTCTGGCCAGTCCTGACCGGCTCGTGTTGGTAGGACAGCTGACCACATGGGTTAGTAGATACCCCCATCACTGCAATTTCTAGTAATGTGTAAGGGTTTTTAAAATCACCTTTGCTGGACCCCAAGACTGGCAAATGTAGACA